TTTCCCTTGTACTTGTGAACTGGTAATTCAGTTCTGAAAAAATGATGTTTTGTAAAGGGTTCACAGTATTTCATTTTGAAGTTGACCTGAAGTTGCTTGTGGATGGTATACACAGAATTTAGAATATGATTAACTAAGTTTTATGCTGTGAATTATGGATAAATTTGGTTTGGAATACATTTAAGCATCTAAATTCAACAGATGAGCACGTTGTGTCAGGCTGGAATAGTGAAAAATATATCAGTTTTAAGATGCATTCTTTCATATGTTATGCTTCATGAGCTTATCTTGGAAGAGGACAGTTGAAACTCTTACTTTCTGGAGAAATTAACTTTACAAAGTAAAATCATGATCTTTCTCTGCTATTTTTCCTCTTCTCAGCAGAGTAGTTTTATTTTAGGTTGCATGGTCTGTTTAAAAGAAGGCTTTCTATTTATGTCTAATAGGAAGAGTTTAAAATAATTAATTTCTGATATTGAACTTTCATGAATATTGAATGTCATGAAATATTTGTTTGCTTCTGATGAAACCTTGCTCCAGTGAGGTCAGTGGCAGTAAGATTTCATCCTTTTGTTTTTGTAATTTTTGGAAAAAACTGTTTACCTCTCAAGTACAAATGCAGCCTGAGGTTTTGGTTGGAATGTGTTATGTGAGGCACATTGTCTTTTAACACTGTTATTTGTGGGAAGATTGAAAAGTTCTGTGTGTGTGTATGTGTGTATTGCACTTTTACATGCTCCAGTGGTGATTATTTCAAGAAGAGTTTAAAAAAAAAAAAAAAAAGAAAAAAAGTGTAATCTCACAATCTCAGAAGCCCTGGCAGCTCATGCTGGATTGAGAAGGTTCTCATCCCTAAATGATGTTTGTTCTTCTTTCTTGTGAAATGGAAGCCCTGAAACAGAAGTGCTGGACCAGGTGGTGTGTCTAGTGCTCAGGCATTGCTCTTCCCAGCCAGCTGCATTGGGACCAATTGGTTTCACTGGTAATGCACCAGGCTGTGAACTGCAGCTGAGAAGAGCTTTGCTTTGTGATCTCTGTTGGATTTAGCTGTGCCAGTTGAGGTAATTACGAGTAGTTGTAATCTCTTTAATCTCTGCTGCTAAATCCAATAAGAATCATGAATTGGATCACACAGAAATTATTTTATTTATAAGTGTGTGTTTTCCATTGATTTAAAATAGTAGGAAAATAACAATTCCTTTAATTATGTTTCGAGTAGATGTGAACAGAAAGTATTTTTAAAACAAACGTTTGTACTTATTGCTGAAGCAGTTTTGGGGGGAGGGGAGGATTAACCATGTAGTTTCAGTACAAAGAGTAGGAAGTTAATTTCTTCTGAGCACATGGAGGGGGATAAAAATACTGTGATTAGTACCTGCTTAACACAGATACTTCTGTTCAGCATTTAGCAAAATGGATTCTGGTATGGACTAGGTTGGCTAGGGCTCTTAAGCACTTTGATGATACAAAAAAGTAACAATCATAACTGATATTTAGGACAACTGTACGTTTCTGAAGAAGCATAAGGTATCTCTAGGCAATGCAGAGCTAATCTATATTTGATTCCAGATTCCTTTGCAAAGCGAAGAATAAATAAATAAAATGATCATAGAATCTGTAATTTACTAAACACTCATAAGCTTCGAAGAAATATTTCTAAGGATGTGGTATAAATGTGGCATATTTATTTTTTCTGTTTCCCTTATTAGAAAATAAATATCTTTACTTCATTTCAATTCAGCTTTTAAATACTATGAGTTTAAAAACCTAAACAGTTATTGTTAAGGTGTCCTAATTTGTTATGTCATTACCCATATGTTTTGTTGTATCTTTGTGGGCTTGTATTCATTTTCTAAATAAATTAATGGGGATAACATTCCAAAACTTAAAGCTGTAACTCATGAGGTTATTTGGCCTCACATATTCATTTGTTTTTCAAAACTTTCTAAAGAACAGGGAAGTAAATTTGCAAGATATTTCAGGTTTGGTTTTTTTTCCCCACCCACAACAGTTTATTTTCTATAGAATTGTTAAAAAGTTTGACCTGATCTTAAAAACTAGAGGGGGATCTTTTGAAAAGACAGTATCTCTGAAAATACAGGCAAATTTTCAGGATTCTGTCTGTAGAGATACAGATTCCTCATTCTTGAATAAAATAAATGAACAGATCTTTGTTTGTGGCATGGAACTGACCAACTAGATTTTTGTATTTAAAATAAAACATGATGTTGTTGAGGGACCAAAGTATTCTGGAAATAATGCTGCTAACTTTATAATTTAGATATGCATGTTATTAATTTTTTGAACTGCTATAATAGTTTACTTAACTGAAAGTGTTCAGTGGATTCCTTAAGCAACATTTGAGCAAATGAATAATTCCAATTATTTCAGTAAGATGACCCATATGCCTAAAGTTTAGAATTGTATTTAAATACCTTTCTGAACTTGACTCCCTGTCTTTTTAGTTATGTGCATAACTCGGTTCCTATTTAAAAGGGCTAAATGCCTTAAGCATCTCTTAAGTTTATCTGGTTGTGTGTATATTGAATTGGCTGTATGTAAGTGCATACTTAAATTAGGCATATGCTTATGTACATTACTGACCAAGGATCTAAATTAGAATGCAGATGCACCACTTTAGGAGCCATTTCTGCCATTGGATTTACTTGACCCATGTCTGTTGATCCTGTAGAAACCTGTATGAGTATCCAGTTAATTGTAAGATGCTGGCTGTTCAGGATAAGGTCTGGTTCATCGATCATTTGAAAACACTTAAGTATTTTGATTTTCAGAAGAACTGGTATATAATTGTATGCCTAATTTGCACACAGTTGCTGGAACTGTATATTTGGAAGCCTGTTAGTTAGCTTCACAATAGGCAGGATGTGCAGCAAAGTACCTGATTCTCATGAGCAGTCAGGCAAATCAGGTACGCCTCTCATTACATGCCTGACTTCAAAATGAGACCTGTAAAGAGTGCTGAACATTGTGATGATGACTCAGATTCATGCATGTTTTTAAAAAAGCCCTGGAAGACATAATTGCACAGTTAATTCTTAAGTTCTAATTTCCTATTTTTCTCCTTTAGATAGCAAAATCAAGTGGTTTGTTACATGTTAAGGAGCAAGGTGCCTCAAAACTTAACATAAATAAAATAAATCTAAATAGGAAGCATGAGAAAAAAAGAATACTATTATTTTATCTTTTCTATTCCACTCATGCTATATATAAATTAATTTTCATTTATATTTGTTTTGACCTTTGGTCATATCCAACTGTAACCCAGTCCTTGCTGCAGATCTGTATAACAGGTTTGCAACACTTTTGTCTTCTTTTTATTTTTTTAAAGTAGCATGATTCCTGTGGGGTTTATTGGAACTCGTATAGCTAAAATTGCACAGTGTTTTGAAACTTATCTCATATTTTGTTTTTTGATAACAATATTTATATATTAATTTTAAAATCCTGAAGTTAGGGGTTTTATAGTTAAAACATGTACAGTTTGATCCAAAGCAGTAAAAGCCACTGGCACAGTATTTGTATATACCTTGACTTTTAAAACAATGTTTAAATAAAAGCATTTACTTTATTAAAATGTATGGGGTAATACCAAAGGGCTCAGTTGGATAGCATATATACAGTTACGCCAGTAATTTTGAATAGATCATAGATAACTAGTATAATTAGGACTTCCTTTCTGTAGTTTTTCAGTTCAGTGTTTAATGTTTGTACCAGTTTAAATCCCTTTGTATTTCAAATTTAATACATACATTTAATTGTATTTGTAATTAACTATTACATCTTTTGATTTTTGAAGATTTTTTTGGGGTTCATTTAGCAGTCTAATTGTGACTAACTTTGAATAAAACCTGTGTTTAGTTCAGATTAGATATTACTTAAACTTTTAGCATGATGGGGAATATAATGTGGTTGAAATAGTAGGAAATACATATTTTAGGAAAATATAGCTTGCTTAGCAGATCAATTATGATTTTGTTTGATCTCAGTAAATTTAAAGCTAATTTATCAGAGTTTCAGATAAACTGAGGTGACCTAGAATGTAAGACAGTACAAATCTGAATTTTTCTGCCCTCCCCTCCTCCACTCCCAACTTCACTTGTAGTATGTCTTGTGTGGAGTCACAGTAGTTTTTATTTTATTTTTATTTATTTTTACATCAAAAGTAGGTAACACCAGAGGGGGAAAAAGCGCACTAATTTCAGTTAGCACATACTTTGTGGGTTTTTTTTTTTTTGTTTGTTTGTTTGTTTTTTTTTCTGATTTGGTTATTTGCCATTTCTGGGGATTAAACTTTAAAAAATGTTCTTCTTTTCTGTATCTGATGTTCTGTGTGCTATTAGTGATGCAGCCAACACGAACGGTTGTCATGTGTAAAACAACTTTCGATCACCGTGAAAACACCGCCCTGGGAAAGCGTCCATGCTTGATATCGTTTGGTTCATGAACATTAAGTTTCCAGTACAGGTGACCCATAGCTCAAAGTGTTAAATAATTGTATACATTATTCAGTTTTTAAAATAATAATCCATTAATGAGATTGCTAGTCTTTGAAGTTTTGCTCACTTTTGTTTTTCCTAGTAGAGCAGGGTAAAAGGAAATACTTAAGTTCATATTTGTTTCTTTGTAAGGATCTGGTAGATAGATTCATTCTTATTTATTACTTTTTTAAATGCAAGGGTAATTGTAAAATCATAGAAAGAGTAACATCTGTGTAGTGTTCCAACTCTGTGTAATGCTTTCATTTGCTTCTTCAGGTAAAATCCCAGATGAAGCCAAAGCCCTTTCTCTATTGGCGCCTGCTCCTACTATGACAAGCCTGATGCCTGGTGCAGGGTTGCTTCCTATACCTACACCAACCCCTTTGACTACAGTAAGTAAAATTCAGTCCCTGTTTGATTTCTGGTTTTCCTCTATACTCGGTAGCCTTTCTGTGTTCAGAGAACAAGAACTATTTGATCTGTGGATGTTGTCCTCTTATATGCTAAATCAGTGAGGATTTAGCTGTGGTGCCTCTTTTGAGGGTAGATCACAAGATGTCCATGCACTACCTTTCCTGGGTGTTTCTTTCAGATTCTTATTTTGCAAAATAGTAGGTAAATACTGGTTTTGGTTGTGCCCATTTTAATTGTTGTCCCTTCCCTAGACCAATTAATTTGATCCAATGGCAATGCTATCCACCTCCTAAAAATTTGTTAAAACATAATAGTTAAATTGACACGGTTCTTCAGAATATTAAAATGCTTCATTAGGGTGCTTTTACTTGATATCTCTATGACAGGGTTTTTGACTGTTAGCCTAACAATCTTTTCACTGCAAAAAGCATAGGAGCTAGCTAGCTGCTGCTGCTTCTGCTCAGTTCCCTTTTGCCTCTGTAAGCCTTTCTTGATACCAGCAGGCTGTTGTGCCCTATTCAGGGAGGATTCTGGAAATAGTAAATCCTACTTCAAAAAAATTGGGCTTAATGTCACTAACCCCATGTTATTTGAAGGTGAAAGTCCTCAGTCTTCCAAACATATTGCAGCAGTGTGTGTATTTATGTTGTTACTGGTACCATCCTGGATTTTTGGCTTGTGTTAAGGGTGTTCTGCAGATTCCCAAACCTATCTGTCCTTAAATGATTCCTCATCTGTTTCCATTACCAGAAACATTATTCCCACTCATATTCTTAGCTGACACTGATCAGCATCCTAAAAGAAATGAATGTATTTGGTGTCTTACTTCTTTCCTTCATTCCATAAAAAAATTGCTTTAACCAAGTTTGATTTCTTCTGCACTATTTCAAACATCTGCACAAAGGTCAGCATCCTTTTTGAAGCTTGTGCTCCAACAGCTGTTTTAGAGTATACAATTTATATAATGAAACAGTGGGACGAAAGTCACCAGTTAGAGGTTTAGGCTAATTCTGTTTATGGTTCATAACTGTCACTGTATAAGAGACATTGCATGACTTTGAAAATAATTTTTAGTTCACAAGAATGTTGGCTTTTTTTTGTCTTAAAATGGGTGATACTGCCCTCATTGTTATGTGAAGTAATAGTTTAGGCATTTCATAAAACAAAATGTGCTTACTCATGGTTCCACTGCATAATTGCCACTAATGAAGCATAAATAATCATAGAATCATTTAGGTTGGAAAAGACCTTTAAGATCATCGAGTCGAACCGTAAACTTAACACTGCCAAGTCCACCACTAAACCATGTGACTATAAGCACCACGTCTACCCGTCTTTTAAATACCTCCAGGGATGGGGACTCAACCACTTCCCTGGGCAGCCTGTTCCAGTGCTGAGGCCATTTCCTCTTGTCCTATCACTTGTTACATGGGAGAAGAGACTGACACCCACCTCCCTACAACCTCCTTCCAGGTAGTTGTAGAGAGCAATAAGGTCTCCCCTCAGCCGCCTCTTCTCCAGGCTAAACAACCCCAGCCGCTCCTCATAGGACTTGTTCTTTAGATCCTTCACTAACTTTGTTGCCCTTCTTTGGACATGCTCCAGCACCTCGATGCCCTTCTTGTAGTGAGGGGCCCAAAACTAAACACAGTACTCGAAGTGCAGCCTCACCAGTGCTGAGTACAGGGGGACGATCGCTTCCCTAGTCCTGCTGGCCACACTATTCCTGATGCAAGCCAGGATGCTATTGGCCTTCTTGGCCACCTGGGCACACTGCCAGCTCATATTCAGCCAGCTGTCGACCAACACCCCCAGGTCCTTTTCCGCCAGGCAGCTCTCCAGCCACTCCTCCCCAAGCCTGTAGCATTGCATGGGGTGGTTGTGACCCAAGTGCAGGACCCGCCACTTAGCCTTGTTGAACCTGATATAATTGGCCCCGGCCCATCGATCCAGCCTGTCCAGATCCCTCTGTAGAGCCTTTCTACCCTCAAGCAGATCAACACTCCTGCCCAACTTGGTGTCATCTGCAAACTTCCTGAGGGTGCACTCAATCCCCTCATCTAGATCATTGATAAAGATATTAAACAGAACTGGTGTAATAGCGATGTTTTAGAGATATTTGTTTCTAAACTAACCTTCTAAGGTAAATTAACTTTGTTTTTATATACATCTTTAATAAATTATCAGTGAATTTTAGAATATCAAAGAGGAAGTCAAGCTGTATAACCCTCTGTTCAATAATAAAAGGCTGATTTCAAGTAAAGACAGAGTAGTTTTCTCTTGTTACATAAAAAAAATTTACTGGTGGCTTGTTGAAAATTTCTAACACTTGTTAGAAACTTTGTTTGCTGGAAAGGCAGTTGCTTTTTTCGGTGGAGAAAATAAAATTCAAACCAGGAACTCAGCAGAACAATTTAGTAGTGATTTTTAAATGACTTTTTTTATAACATTCCCTAGGAGAGATTTCAATTCCCAGCTCTAAAAATGAGAGTTGTATTGTCCTCATTCTCTAGGAGGTGACTGTGTTTGTAGGGTAAGATCTTAGACTTAATATCCTTCACGTTTCAACTGTAATTAATCTTGCCTTATGTGATATGTTTGTCCAAAAGGTACCTTATCTGTCCCTTTGATGGACTGATGTCTGTTATGGAATTTGCAGTGCCCAGGGCCAATTTGTTCCCTTCTTCCCTTGCTGGGCAAGGCCTCAGCAATTCCTCATCCACTTATAATACTTGTTGTGGCAAAAAAATAAGAGTATTAGCAGTGTTTGAAGGCGTCTTACTCAATTGGATTGACCGTAGGTATTAGAAATTCAAGCCTGCATGTTTTCTTATTGATATACTGCATCCCTGGCCAGAGATCTTTGATAAGATGGTATCTGATAGCACACAGAAAATCTTAACTGTAAAAAGTTATTTATGGGTCGGTTTTTATTCTTTAAAAAAAAAAAACACTTGTGGTGGGTTGACATTGGCTGGCTGCTAGGTGCCCACCAAGCTGCTCTATCACTCCCCACTCCTCAGCTGGACAGGGGAGAGAAAAATATGATGAAAGGCTTGTGGGTTGAGATAAGGATAGGGTGATAACTCACCAGTTACCATCACGGGCAAAACAGACTCAACTCAGGGAAATTAATTTAATTTATTGCCAATTAACAATGGAGTAGGATAATGAGAAAAAAACAAATCTAAAAACATCTTCCCCTCACCCCTCCCTTCTTCCCGGCTCAATTTCACTCCCGATTTTTCTCTACCTCCTCCCCCCGAGCAGCGCAAGGGGATGGGGAATGGGGGTTGTGGTCAGTGCATCACACGTTGTCTCTGCCACTCCTTCCTCCTCACACTCTTCCCCTACTCCAGCACGGGGTCCGTCCCATGGGAGAGTCCTCCACAAACTTCTCCAATGTGGGTCCTTCCCACGGGTTGCGTTTCTTCACAAACTGCTCCAGTGTGGGTCCTTTCCATGGGGTGCAGTCCTTCAGGAACAGACCGTACCAGCGTGGGTTCCCTGTGGGGTCACAGGTCCTGCTAGCAAACCTGCTCCAGCGTGGGCTCTTCTCATCATGGGGCTACAGGTCCTGCCAGGAGCCTGCTCCAGTGCGGGCTTCCCACAGGGTCACAGCCTCCTTCAGGGCACATCTCCCTGCTCCGGCGTGGGGTCCTCCACGGGCTGCAGGTGGATATCTGCTCCAACGTGGGCCTCCATGGGCTGCAGGGGGACAGCCTGCCTCA